GGGAGGGGTGGGTTTGCCGGGTTGGTGGGGTGGGCCGAGGGACGGGAGAGGGGGCGAGGTGGGTTGGTTAGGGGGTTGGGTTCATCATCGTTGGTGTCCAGAAATTGAAGGTCAGGAGAGGTGAGGGGGTGGGTGTAACGCCCCAAAATATACCCTAGAATTATTAATGAATAATTATTCAAGTAATCAAATTATTTTGATTAATAATAATAATAATAGTTATTGGGCTTTGGGCTGCAATGAAATATGTTTTAATATTCAATATCAAAATCTGGATAAGTCTGAGAGAGATAAATCCAATATGTTGACTTATTGTGTGACCTTACTTGGGAACCTGAGTGCAGACCCAAATCAAGGATAAATAAAGAAATTTGTTTATGATAAGAACTTTGAAATGATTTATTGAAATAAATCATGAGAATAAATAATATGAATGAAATGTAAAAACCTTTCTGAGTAAAGGTCAACAAAATCAATTTTTACTCTGTGAAAGTCAACCACCTAAAAATATGATGTCGGAAAAAGTAGAACGAATAAATATAAAAATTATATCGTTGGATAGAGTTTAATTGTACAATCGCAACGGTGGAAACCGATTTCAATTCGGAGAAAGTTGGGCCAAAAAGTGTTCCCCGACTGGGACCAAATTAGTCCCAATCAGGGACTTGTGTTTGGAATCGTGGATATCATAGCCCACTCCACTACCCGCTCTAACAGGGAAGGTGACGCAGTGAATTTCATCTTCTTCCTCCAAACTCTTCTATATAAGAGGAACAATTCTCTCCCATTTCTTCACCATTTTCCTTCAAATAAACTCTGAGAGAAAGCTCTGAGTGTGGTGAACGAAGTTGTGCTGTCAATTTGGTGTGAAGTCGCCGGAGCAAGCTACAATCCTCGCCAGAAGTTTCGCCAGAAATTTTCTAAAACCTCCATTAAGCTTCGAGGTAAGCCCGTAGATATATCTAGTGACTAGAATGTTCATATAGATCGTTTCTACGTTCATAAACGCTCGTTTGGTTGAGTTTCGTGTTTGACATGCTTGAAGAACCAAGAATCATAAACCATGAAATTGATGTTAAAACCATGAATTAAAGATTCCAAAATTATATATGAACCTTAGAGAACATCTCTATATAGTTTCGTTGAAGTTCGGTGACTAAAAGTGGAATTTCCGAAAAATGGACCGAAGGTTGAAGAAGATGAACAGTGGCTGAAAAACCACTGCCTGGATCAATCATCTTGCCTGGATCGATCCTCTGGGAGTTTTTCTTCTAGTGTGGATTGATCCAGAGGGCTGGATCGATCCCCCGAATTTCTGATCCAAAAATTTGTCTAAAAATGTTATTTTTGAGCTCTAAAATCCTATTTTTGATACCAATTGATTATGATCATTATAAAACTAATTTTTCACATTAAAAGTAATATTTTTAACAAATAAAATGTTATGTGATGCATGACGGTAAGTTAGGGTGTTAACACCCGAAGCTACGCCGCTAATTGTTATTGAATATTATGTTGATTGATGATTATGGTAATGATTATTGATTGATAATTATGATGATTAAATCTTAATAAATATTCTAATTAAAAATGACAGTTGTGAATGATTAAATCATAATGAATATATTGATGATTGTGAAAATAATATATTGTTAAGAGTATCTAGAAGACCTCTAAGATATACCCATATTAATGTTGATTTGAAAGGTATCTAGAAGACCTCTAAGATATACCTATTTAAGTTAGGCCTTGCGGGTATGAACTCTGGTGGCTAGGGTTAAAACGTACGTACGGGATCCAAGAACCAAACATGAGTACCTACTCGTTTGGGGGTACCACCCACCCAACAGTGAACACTACGTTGTCGTTTTTGGTTGGCCTTAAGTGAAGGTAAGTTTAAAATTTTCAAAACCCTTTTATCTTAAACTAGGCCTAGCTTAAGGATTATTTAGGAATATTTTATACTGGAATATAGTTTAATTATTTAAACTAGAATTCATGTAAGGGTTGACAAATATTAAAGTGATTGGCCTTAGACTAAGAATAGTTTAAGGATATTGTTGAATGTGGAATATTGAATATTGAATATTGAACATCAATAAATATTGAATGATGAATATTGAATTGAATATTGCAATTATTATGAATGACTGATGAACATTGAATGTGAATATAAATGTTGAATAATGAATAATTTTTAATAATTATTGATTATCTGAACTGAATGTTATGTGCATGATATCAAATGATTTGATTATGAATTTAGATTCAGTTTATATGGATGTTCGATGCATTAGATATGCTTACTCAACTTCAACGCTGAGCGTGTAGTATGTTTTATTTGCTACACGCAGGTTATTAGAAAGAATGAAGTAATGTGGTCCTGGAGGCAGACGGAGACGAGATTGTCGGAATGGATGTGATGGTTTTGAATTAAAAAAACAAAATAAATTATGTTGTAATTATGATTTGGTAAAGCTTCCGCAATATTGAAAGTTCCGTACTGTTTATATTATGAAAAATATTATTATGATAAATAAAAGTGTTTGAAATGTTTTAAATTTTTACGATTAACAAGTTAATACTTTAGTCCGAAAGGGGCTGCAGACCTGGACGGATTAGGGTGTTACAGTGGGCGTATGGGATAGTGTTTTCATCGAAGACAACGTGACGAGAGATAATGATTTTGTTCGTTTGAAGGTCAAGACATCGATAGCCACGTTGATTCGAGGGGTAGCCGAGGAAGACGCAACGGGAGGAGCGTGGTGCAAGTTTGTGTGGGGTGGTGGTGGAGATATTCGGGTAGCAAAGGCAACCGAAAACGAGAAGATGAGAGTAGTGTGGAGGAGAGTTGTAGAGAACGGAGTGAGGAGTGTGGTTGTTTAACGTGGTAGTGGGAAGAATGTTGAAGAGGTGGGCGGCCATATAGAGGGCTTCCACCCAGAATTCAGGGGGAAGTTGAGCCTGGAAGAGAAGCGAACGGATGGTGTTATTAAGAGTGCGAATGGTGTGTTCGGCGCATCCGTTTTGTTGACTCGTATGAGGACAATAAAACTGGAAAAGGATACCCAAAGAGTCAAAAATATTTTTAAGAGGTGAGTTTCTGTATTCAGTTCCATTGTCACATTGAACATATTTTATCGTTGTGTTAAAATGATTTTTCACATATGCCACAAAAGAATTTAGGTGAGTAAAAGCATCACTTTTATGTCTTAGAGGAAACACCCACAAATAATGAGAAAAATCATCTAACAGCAACATATAAACTTTAAAATCAGTAACACTTGGCACAGGTGATTGCCATAAGTCTGTACGCAAAAGGTGGAAAGAAAAATAAGAGACTCGACTCGAAGAATAAAAAGGGAGGCGCACATGCTTTCCCAATTGACACGCATGACAAAGAGTTTGATGATACTTTTTAAATAAAGGAAAAATAGAAGGGACACCAAGTAGGACCGCAGGACTTGGATGGCCGAGACGACGATGCCAGGTTTGATGATCTACGGACGATACGTGAGCTTGAGCATAGGCTGGATGGTCTACCGGGTAGAGAGGACCTACATTATTGGACCGATGCATCACGGTCCCCGTCTGACGATCCTTCACAGAAAAACCATGAGCATCAAATTCAACAGTGCAGTCATTATCACGAGTGAGTTTGCGAACAGAGATAAGATTATGAGTAATATGGGGGGTATTAGGATATTATTTAAGGAGAGGGGAGGGGTGGTGGGAAGGGTGTGGCTTCCAACCGCCGTAGTGTGAACCTTAGATCCATTACCAACAGTGATATAGTGAGGTGAATATAAAACTTGAGAAGAGACATGAGAAAGAGTACCTGGGTTTGAGGCAATGTGGTGTGTGGCACCGGTATCCATAAGCCATGTGGGTTCTCAGAGGGACAGGGTATCAAATTGGTGGGATAGGGTTGTGGGTGTGGGTGGGTAGGGGGGCGGGTATGTTACGGGTTGGGGGGTGTGTGGGGCTGCCG